TCTAGTAATATATTTACTGAGAAAAATGGTGACGTGTTCAATACTTATTTTACCCTCTGTATGTATGTATATGTATAACTCGGGAGCTAACGTGAAAGCTAAAAGGCTAAAGCTAAGTTTGTCCTTCTTAGAAGCATTCCATTTTATTTGTGGCGTAATAATCAACGTTCAAGTGAAAATATAGTTTTAAATATAAGTTCTAAACCGCCTACAGTATTTTTACAGCCTATTATAGTTGAAGTAAATATTTATAAAATAATGTTGCAACTGTTTTAGATTAGATTAGAGAGACTTTACTGTCATCATACAGAGCACAATGAAATTACAGTAATAGTAGTTTTTGCAGTTCAGTTTCAAAAAAATACATTCAGTTTTCTGGAAAACAGAACTCTGTCTCACCCACGGCCTTTTAATGATCCCGTCCGTTTAGATGACATTCAGAGACGAGTGTTATCGTTTAGGAAATGCTGTTACATTTTTTACAAATGTATATTGTCAGTCTATAGATAAGAGCTGCAGATATTTCTCTCCTTCGTGGGATTATTATTCTGCTGTTCAGCTCATGCAGGAGGTAGAGGAGCTACGACTTTTGGTTCTTAAAATATTAACTTTTATTTACAATCATCTCTCAGAGAAATACACTGCCTGGTGATTGTTATTTTTATTGTCTTAAACGTGATAAAAAAAACCAACCAGGTGATTACCTCCTGAAGCTGACTGAATCAAACCATAAAACTATTTTAATGTAAGTAAAAGTAAAACAGTAGTTCAGACCGGTGCGTCGTGAACTCTGCAAAATTCGAAATGTCTGCAGCAACTTTTCTGGACGATTTTATTTCCAGTTTGCCAGCAGTATTCTCTCGCAGCGTCTGTTTTCACCCAGAAGGGGCACGGCCGTGTCAGCGAGAGGGAAATCAGCTGCAACTGCTCCAGTTTTTATTTCATTTTGAAAAGTTCGAAGCGATCCCCAGAGCCCAAACAGGCAGCGACTTGCAATCAGAACGTGTTTGGAAGTTTACAGCTTATGTAAGAGAATCTGTGGGGCTTTTTTATTTTTATTTTTTTATTTTTTAAAGAAAGCTGGAGCACAGCAGGAAACACTTAGGAAGCATTTCATATCAGTTCTATTGATCCTCAATTTGTAGAGTTTAATATATTTTTCCAGTCTGTTTCTGCGAACTGCTAATTGCTCAGGCGGGAAGTTAATCTGCCAATCAAGTCTCTCGTTATCTCTCGTTAAGTGGTGAGCAGGCCACGACACAAAACAAAAAAATAAAAATGTTCTTTCTGTGCACTGGAGATGTGAAGAACAATATGATCGGATTTGTTTTCTTCAGTGCAGCTTGCAGGCATGTCAGAGTGATTCTCCACAGTCCCTGATGATCAATACTCTGGGGCTGCACAGCCATCAAAGTGAAGTTGTTAGCCGTCACTTCGAAAATTAGAGATTTTAGAAAGAAAAAAAAACCTGGCAGACACTTGGCTGCAGCTTCTGAACATAAGACTGTTCCAGTTCTTCTGCAAAACAGATGAAAGAGAATCATCACATTGTTTATGTCTGTATGTGAAATTATAATTTTTTTTGTTTTAATCAGACATAATTGATCCAAACTCTCAAATTCAGGTTGACATTAAAACATCCAGCATTAAACTGAAGGCTTGTGGGCCAAATGTGGTCCACCATGACACTTTATGTAACCCAGGAGATCTTCAAATATATATTAATATCTTAAAATAAGCTGCTTGAAAGCCAGCAGTGACTATAAATTACATTTCCCATGATTATTTCACACGTGAAATGACAACATCCCACCACCAGGTGGAGCTGCACAGGGTTCAAAAGTAGCCGAAATCTTGTTTACTTTATAGAATCAGGTTAAACTGAGTCATTGACTAAAATAACCCGGTTCCCTTGAGTCGGGAGAAGAGACCCAAGTCCGAGGTTTTTCCAGCCGTCGGAAAGTGGGAGGAGTTRAGAACTCAAGATGGCAGCTACTCACCACAACTCAACAGGGGGCCGCGTTCCCATCCAATTATTTTACGCATTTTCATCAAACTTTTAAAATGTCACAAAAAAAAAGAAATGCACTGATGTGTTTCCGTCTACTGGCTTGGAGCTACAACAAGTGTAATTACGTCAGATGTTAACGTTACGCATGTCTGTAGTAAACAGGAAGTAAAGTCTCAAACTCACAGGGACACTTCTCAGGATGATGGAGAGAAGTTATCAGGGACGTCTTGCTATCAGGAAAGTTGTAATTATTCGGTCATATCAGCTGGTGTTGGTGATGTTACTGCTGTCTGGAGACGTAGGAAAATAATTCTCTTTATGTTACAGGAATATCTGGGAAGACACCGACAGCAGGAGGAGGGGCCAGCTGCAGCCACTACGATTATTGGACAGCAGGAACAGCTGATCGAGGTAAATGTTCACTATGTTAGAACTTATTCTTCAGTGTTTKCATCTCCACTTTTGCGCATTAAATCTTTTTTGGAAAATCCAAAATCACTTCCAGCGAACTTAAATTTTTTTTTTTGCAAAATCGAGAACGTTTTTGCAAATTTTTCCGTTTCCGTCCACCTTTTCTAAATTGATACTTTAAAAGTGTGAATAAAAAATCATTGATGGAAACACAGCTACAGTAAAACTCTCATACTTTTACTTTTAATAGTATTTCTGTAGTACTTATTTCACATTCAGTCAGTTGTACATGTAGCACTTTTCAGTGTTTATTACAGGACGTGTTGAAGCACTGTTTCTATGCAGGAAACACCAGGTAGAGCTCAGTGTTTGTTAGACACGACACGTCCAAATTAATTAAAACCATGATACTCACTCTTCATCAATGTTTTGTTCGGCTGGAAAAAATAAATATTTTTTTTCTTGTCACTCTTCGGTTTAGTTTGCCAGCTGCACGCCGGCTGTTTCTCTAAATGAAAACTGAAAGAATAAAACAACACAAGACGTTTCAGCCGTCAGTCGTCGGCACGAAGAATCAAACTGAAACAAATAAACTCTGTTGCTCGGCAATCTGTCCATCTGCAGTGGATTTGTAGCGTAGCAACTCAAATACATCCAGTAAACGACATCATACACTTTAAAGAAATATACACGTTATACAGAAAGACAAAGTACAAAGACAGCTTGATCCAAATAACACTTCAACACAGTCATATTGTAACATTTTACAATACATTCAAACTTTATTTAAGAGTTGATGCTAAAACAACCCTGCAGTTGTAAAGCTCTCTGTAGAAAATAGATAATTAAATGATAAATGTGGTAACATACTGCCCTCGGGTTTTTCTCTCTTTTCAAACATTTGATTCAACAAACAGACCAAATTAAGTTTTATAAATAAAACATGAAACGGGCTAATTGGTTCGACACTATCTGTCATGAATTTAATTAAACTGGAGTTGGAGACAAATAATTTACTTCCTACGTGACACATAATTTAAAGGTGACAATAATTTATTAAAATCAATTGGTGGGAACTTTTCTCCTCGTTCTACCTCAGACAAAACAAAACATTAATGTTGGGTTCATTCAGAGGCCTGGAATATGTTGTTCCTCTTGTTTGTGTTTGTGTATATTAGATTGATTTTAGCCCCGCCCATTTACACAGATGGGCGGGACTACAAATGTTATATTCCTGCAGCAGAAACACAAAATGGAAGAGTATTAGGCCCACAGCTTTTTTTTTTCTTGACTTCAGACATTTTTGTCACAATACTGACTTTTTTCCTCAGAATTAAATTTTTTTTTTTGTAAGAATTCAGATTTTTATTTATTTATTTACTTATTTATTTAGGCAAAATTCAGACTTTTTTTCTCAGAATTGGAAAAAAATAATTTTCTCAGAATTCTGAATGTTTTCTCAGAATTGGAACAGAGAATTTTGACTTTTACTTCAAATTTCTGAGAAAAATGTCAGAATTCAGGGATTTTTTTGCTCTGTGGCCCTAAACTTGTTTTAACAGGGCCATGAAATAAAACAAAGAAAGTTAAATAATTTTATGCTTGTTTAGATCATATTTTTTGAAGAATCTAATTAACACTAAACACATCTGGCCTTCTGTAGTTACCAAATGAATACAAATGTAAACAAAGTGCTTGAATCAGGTGTTTACTGGTGAATGAAAGAAGAATCCAACTTATAAACACTTACATCCATTTTATCTGACTCATTAATGTTCTCTTATTGTGAAAAATGTCACCAAAAGCAATAAGCTCATAAATTAAAAACAAATAAAACTTGAATTCAAAGCAGCTTTTGTGTCAAAATATATATTTTTATCACCACCTTGAAGCCGTTGACACATTAACTCAAACGATGATGTTTTTTTCACTGTAAACAATTTCTCTAACGTTCAGATGAACGTTAGAGAAATGTCAAGGTTGCTGCAGTTCCAACTGTCAGTTTAAAGCTTTAATAAAGGCTTTCACTGTAGGAGAAAAAACAAACAAGACATCAACGTTACAATGACTTCAGCAGAAACACTTAATGTATCTATCAGGCCCCGTGGATTATTGCTTTTAAAAGATAAACAATGTTGTTGCACATTAATTTCACAGGCGATCCCCTTTGGCTTTGCAGTGTTTCCTGGCCTTGGGACAGCGAAGGATTAATGGTCCTGAGTGTGAAACTGAAGGTTATCCTGCAGAGCAAAGGTCACAGGAAATTAAAGGCATCATGCTGAATGAAAATGTGACGCTTTAATAAAAAGAAAATTGTACGCCACACCTGAAACGAGACACAGGAGGTGTGTGGAAGGTAATCAGAGTTCATTAGAAAAGTGCTTCAGGAGCAGAACTCTGACATCTTCATTAGGGGGGATAGAGTTCACGCAGGGGGATCTGCATCACCCGGTCTTTATTATTACCATTTTACATTTTTATAATAATTTCTTTTTAAGTCGATTGCCAAAAAGTATCTATGTTATCACACCAGTATCAATCCAATACTAAGGAGCCCGTTAGGGGAGATGGGGGGTGGGGGGGGACGGATCCTGACTTACTTTCTCAGGATCCCGAGAACGTTTCTTAGGATCCTGAGAAAGAAACTGGGGATCCTGAGAAAGAAAGTTGGGATCCTGACAAAGAAAGTCGGGATCCTGAGAAAGAAATTTGAGATCCTGAGAAACTTTCTCAGGATCCTGAGAAAGAAAGTCGGGATCCTGACAAAGAAAGTCGGGATCCTGACAAAGAAAGTCGGGATCCTGACAAACTTTCTCGGGATCCTGAGAAAGAAAGTCAGGATCCTGCAAAAGAAAGTCGGGATCCTGAGAAACTTTCTCGGGATCCTGAGAAAGAAAGTCAGGATCCTGAGAAAGAAATTTGAGATCCTGAGAAAGAAAGTCGGGATCCTGACAAAGAAAGTTGGGATCCTGACAAATAAAGTCGGGATCCTGAGAAACTTTCTCGGGATCCTGAGAAAGAAAGTCGGGATCCTGAGAAAAAAGAAAGTTGAGATCCTGAAGAAAAAAGTTGGGATCCTGAGAAAGTTTTTCAGTATCCCGGCTTTCTTTCTCAGGATCCTGAGAAAG